TCAGATGTTTGTTGGCTATTTGCCTTTCTTCTTGGGAGAAGTGTCTTTATAGTTCTTTTGCTCATTTTTTCACTGTGTTGTTTGCTTTGCTTTTGTTGTATTGTTTAAGTTCTTTGATATCAGTCCCTTATCTGTTGTATGATGTGCAAATATTTTCACCCATTTGGTAGGATGTCTTTGTTTTGATGACTCTTTTTTGCTGTACAGATGCTTTTTAGTTTGATGTAGTCCCAGCTGTTTATCCTCTCCTTTGTTTTCCTTGCTTCTGGAGAACAATTCTCAAAGATGTTTCTGAGGTTTATGTCATGGAGTGTTTTGCGTATGTTTTCTTCTATATATTGGGTTGTCAGAAAAGTCATGATATATTTTTTCAACCAAAAATGCATCATGACTTTTTGCAACAACCCAAAGTTTTATGGTTTCAGGTCTTATATTCAAGTCCTTTATCAATTTTGAGTTGATTTTTGTATAGAGTGTGATATAGTCTAGTTTCTTTTTTTTTTGCGTGTTGCAGTCCAGTTTTCCTAACACCATTTATTGAAGAGATTTTTCTTGTTTCAGTGTATGTTCTTTGCTCTTTTGTCATAGATTAGTTGACCATATGTGAGTAGTTTTATTCTGGGCTTTCAATTCAATTTCATTGGTCTGTGTTTTTGTTTTTGTTTTTGTTCTAGTACCACACTATTTTTAATATAGCAGCTCTGTAGTATTGTTTGAAGTCTGAGGGTGCAATGCCTCCATTCTTTCCCCTTTCAATTAGGAGAGCTTTCACTGTTTGGGGTTTTTTGTGATTCCATATGAATTTCATCAATATTTGTTCTATTTCTTTGAGGAATGTCATTGAGATTTTTATTGGAATTATATTGAATCTGTAAATTGCTTTTGGTAGGATGGCCATTTTTATGTTAATTCTTCTGATCCTATTAAAAGGGAATATCTTTCCATTTCTTAGTGTCTGCTTCTATTTAAGTGTTTTGTAGTTTTCCTTGTATATATCTTTCACCTCCTTTGTTAGGTTTATTCTCAGGTATTTAATTTTGGGGGTACAATTGTAAATGGGATGGTTTTCTTAATTTCTTCCTCTTAAGAATGATTGTTTGTATAGGAAGGCTACTGATTTTAGGGTATTGATTTTGTAACCTGCTACTTTACTAAATTGGTTTATTGTTTCAATTAGTTTTTCTGCAGATTTTTTAGGATTCAGTATGTATGTCATCATATCATCTGCATATAATGAGAGTTTCACTTCTTCTTTCCCTATTTGGATTCCTTTTATGACTTTCCCTTGCCCAGTTGATGTAGCTAGGACTTCTAGTACTATATTGAAAAGCAGTGGTGAGAGTGGATGGACATCCTGGTCTTGTTCTAGATCGTAATTGGAAGACTTTCAGTTTTTCACCATTAAGAATGATGTTAGCTGTGGGTTTGTCATATATGGCTTTTATTATGTTAAGATATGAATATTATGTTAAAATACAAATTTTTTGATGGTCTTCATCATAAATGGGTATTGGACTTTCTCAGCATCTATTGCTATGATCATATGGTTTTTATTTTTCTTTTTGTTTATGTGATGAACTACACTGATGGATTTTTGGATGTTGAACCATCCTTGTGTCTCTGGGACAAATCCCACTTGGTTGTGATGTGTGATTCTTTTGATACATTATTGGATTTGGTTTGCTAAGATTTTACTGAGGATCTTAAAATCCTCAATAAGGATTTTTTGCATCTGTTTTCATTAAGGAGATTGGTCTGTAGTTCTCTTTTTTGCGTGTTGTCTTTGTTTGGCTTTGGTATTAGTGTAATATTGGCCTTGTAAAATGAATTTGATAGGTTCCCTTCTATCTAAATTTTTTGGAAAGCGTTTCTGTAGCACAGGCATTAGTTCTTATTTGAACATTTGGTAGAATTCGTTTGTGAAACCATTTCGTCCTGGACTTTTGTTTTTTGAGAGGGTTTTGATTTCTATTTCAATTTCATTGCTTATAATTAGTTTAACTTTTCTATTTCTTCTTTGCTCAGCTTTGGGTAATTGTACAGTTTTAAGAATTTGTCCATCTCTTCTAGATTGTTGAACTTGTTTGCATAGAAATGTTCATAGTAATCTCTAATTATCCTCAGGATTTCTGCTGTGTCTGTTGTAATTTTTCCTCTTTCATTTATAACCCTACTTATTTGGGTTTTCTCCCTTTTTTTCTTTATGAGCCAAGCTAGAGGTTTGTCTATTTTATTTATTTTTTTTTTAAAGAACCAGCTTTTGGTTTTCATTGATCTTTTGGATTGTCTCATTTCTATTTCGTTTATTTCTGCTTTAATTTTTATTATTTCCTTTCTTTTACAGGCTTTTGGATTTTTTGTTGTTGTTCTTTTTCTAGTTCCTCAAGATGAGAGATTAGGTCCCTTTGGATTATCTCTTGTTTTTGATAAAAATATGGAATGCTTCATGAATTTGTGTGTCATCCTTGTGTAGGGGCCATGCCTGTATAATTTTAGTGTATGTGCTGTCAAAGTGAGCACTAAAATAATTTTTAATAAAGGATAACAAAATCCACAAATGGAAAGGGGCTAAAGGAAGAAATAACCATTAAGAAGTAAATCCTAAAGGTAGATTCTCTTTGTGACTAAATCTCTGACTGTAAGTTTGGCTACATGGGGCTACAAAAATAACCCTTTGGACCTTGCCAAATGATGAACTATACCTAATAAGTGACGAAAGGGGAGAGGAGAGCCTGAACATTTCTTGTGAAATACTGTCTACACAGTGCTATTTTTAAAATCTTACTAATGGTCATAGAGGATCTTGAAAAGTGAAGGCTAAATAAATTACGATGACAGAAATGAATTAGCAGAAAGAATCTATGATTTGGGAATTGTTTATGTGTATGATAAATCAACTCAGCATCAAAGGCCTGTTTTTTTAGATGTGGCCACATAACCCCTGCTGGGGAATTCTTAAGGAATGCTGATGAACGGGTTATTTCATTTTATTATTTACTCTTTATTTTTTCCAAGAATATGCAGACTGAAATTGGACTTTGTGTTGTTATACTTTGAGAAACACAAATATATTCTAGCTTAATAGGAACAAAACTTGGTTCTCACTTATTATAATACATTCGGAGATCAGTTATAATGAGCGAAGAGACTGGTTCCTGTGTCCCTGTGAGAGACAAAAGCACGTGGTGCCAAACAAGCCTAAGGGAAATTTTTCTCTTCCACAAATACGAGTCTCATATGTGCACAGTGCATACAGCATGCCTGGGAGAGTCCAATAGCATACTTTGTACTTAGGGTACGATCCACCACATTTGCCTTTTCCACCATGTCTTAAGCTACAAAAAATATAGAGAAGTCTCATGATTTGGTTATTATTTGAATATGATATTAACAGGGCCTATTAGTGTGTTAGGTTCGATCCCCCAGGAAATAGACTCTGAGATAAAGATTTGTGTGCAAGAAGTCTCTTGGGGAACAATGCCTCTAAGCAAGTGAGGAAAGTAGAAAATAGGCAGAAGTTTGGACTTAGCTGACCTGATAGGGATCTCAGGAGGTAGCATGGCTCATCCAAGGTGTCTCATGTTGAGGGAAGGGGACAGATTGTTGTACCCACTTCCCATTGTGCCTATCCCTCACCCTCCATGGAGATGCAACCAAACCTTGTGGGAAGTTATTTCCTTTAGGCAAGTCCTTGGGAGGACTCAGTTGTAGGCTATCAACAATCAATATTCTGGGTACCTGGATGTATGAGGATCTCCAACTTGAAGGGGGATCTGGGCCGAGTGTTATGGATTGAGTATTTGTGTCCCCCAAATTCACAGGTTAAAATTCCCTAACATGATGGCATTTGGAGGTGGAATTTTTGGGAAACAATCAGAGTTAGAGGAGTTATAAAGGTGGTGTCCTTATGATGAGATGAGTGTCCTTATAAGAAGAACACTCAAGCTCTCTCTGTGCATGCATGCACAGGAAAGGACCGCTGAGGACACAGTCAGGAAGAGGGTGTTCAGAAACCTGGCCATGCTGGTACCTGATCTCAGACTTCCAGCTCCTGGAGCCATGAGAAGTAAATATTTGTTAAGCCGCCCAAACTCTGATAATTTGTGTTGGAAGCCTGGATTTTCTAAGGCACAGTAAATCACAGCAAACACTACAACCAGTAACACCCTGCCTTATATTAACATTGGGATATTCCCAAAGTCTGTACTACACACGGTAAATGAATAGTTGAAGGTAGGATTTTTAAGAAAGTAGTTTTGCATTTTTACCAAAAAACATTTAACTTCTAGAATAATAAAACAGAAAAAATTATTACTCTCACTTCTTGCTCTATTACTAATCCAGGATATGTAGGAAATTATTCTATTAATAAAGATATGAACTCAGTATCCAAGAGAAAAAGTTTAAATTATATTTGTTTCCTTATGTTTCTTTTTTTTAAGATTTATTTATTTATGCATACAAGAGCTGGGGTACAGGCCAGAGATGCGGGGGATGAGAGGATTCACCAGAGACAGAGTGGAGAAGAGAACAGGCAGTCTGACTGAAACATACTGCCGAGGGGAGCAGTGGGCGAGACAGGAGAGGTGGGTTTCTCCTGCGGGTTGAGGATTGAACTTGTGCTGCAGAGACTGCGGATTGCTTCATAGTGTGGTGATTAACTCCTTGCACTACCAGGGAGGCCCTGTTTCCTTATGTTTCTGCCACTGCAGGATTGTGGCCTTTTGCACTATCCTCAGTATACAGAAAGTCACTTAGAACAAGCTGCTTATGTATCACATCAAATAATAAAAAAAAAATTACTTGAATTTTACCTTGAAAAAGTAAATAAAATTTTTTTCAAACTCTTTACCTTTAACAGAATGTAGGCTATCATGATAACTGAATGCTTATCTTAGAAGTAAGAATATGTCTGGAATTTAGGGACATAAGTTTTTCCAACAAATTTAATTTTACAGTTAAATAAATGACATTCATCCCTTTATATTTTATTTCTGCAGCATGAAAATGAAGATGGCGAAATAAGCAAGAAGGAGAAAGATAAATACCAGATGGTGTTACTTATATATAGACTATAGAGAAACCAAACAAAGGGTCAAACAAACACAAACTGTAAAACCAATCCATGAAAACGGAGGCATCTAAGAGGAAGAGGGAGAGGTATGGATGGGGGGAAGCATAATGGACTATGGTAGAGGACTGTGGGTGCTGTAATGGTGGGAGAACTATGAGGACCACACCTAAGGGGAGAAACCGTATATTGTCAAAATATTAACAAAGATGTAAAACAATGGTACTTCATTAATAAAAAAAGAAACATTATATTATCAAAAAAGAAAGAAATGAAGATGGATATTTAAAAAATGTTTGAGGGATTTTTAATTTTGCCAGGGTATCTCAGTCCTCTAATTTGAATTCATGGGGAGTTGAGTTAATCTTGAAAACATTTCTTTCTTTTTTTTAAAAAAGATTTTTTATTTATGCATACAAGAACTGGGGTACAGGGCAGTAGTGGGTAGCGGGGGGAGAGGATTCACCAGAGACAAAGTGGGGAACATAACAGGCAAACTGACTGAAATACACTGCTGAGGGGAGCAGCAGGCAAGACAGGAGAGGTCTGCTGCACCATGTGGGCCACCTGCCTGGCTAGAGATCGAACTCATGCTTCAGTGGCTGTGGATAGCTTCATAGTGCTAACATTTAACCCCTTGCACCACAAGGGAGGCCCCAATCTTGGAAACATTTCTGTTATCATCATCTTCTAGATGTTTCCATTAGTTGTGGATAACTCTACTTGGAATGATCTTAATATGTTCGAAACAGAACTTTCAATTCTTAATCTTCCTTGCAGCCTTTTCAACCCCATCTTCTCTCCTCTAGCTTCTCAAGAAAACTATTTGGAAATTATTCTGCTTTTAATTTTTCTTCTTTGCTTACATACTACATCTATTCCATCAGCAAGTACAACTGGCAGAATACCCCCTAAAAGACTTTTTCACCACCTCCACTGCTACCTTCCAGTGCCAGTCACCATCAGACCTTGCCTGACCTATTATAGTATCTTCCTAAATGGTCTCCCAGCTTTAGCTCTACTCTACAACCACTTGCCACAGAGGAGCCAGTTATTTTAAAATGTGTTTATCAAGTACTACATTTATATGGTTCAAAATTCAACACACTATAGAAAGCTATGTCAAGAGAAGTCTTGTACCCACTCCTACATTCCTTGCCCCAACACTCTCATAATAATCATTGCCATCATGATCTTTATGAAAACCCTTTTAAGAAGATTTTAAGGCAAATACAAGCATACTTTATTGCTCAAAAGGTAGCCTACCATATACACTGTTCTACAATTTGCTTTTTTATCACTAATAAAAAATGTTCTAAAGCTCTTTCTATTTGTCTGCCAGTATATAGAATTCTTTCTTTTCCATTTTTACAGGGTATCATGCCATTGTTTATTTATTTAATAAACCAAGATTATTTATTTATTTAACCAGGCCTCTTTGGCTGAACATCATGATTAGGTCCATTTTTTGCTCTTACAAATAAGGCAACAATGAATAACCTTGTTCATGTGTCATTTCATACATGTAGAGATGCATTTACAGGATTGCAAGGTCATATATACAAATGCTTTTGTTGGTTTAAATCTAATTGCTACTCCCCCTGCTTAAGTCTCTAAAAATTTCCCATCCTAAGCAGAATGAAAGCCATTGAGATATCACCTATGTCTTTCTCCCTCTTTCACTATGGACTAAACACATGGGCTTTCTTTCATCACTCTCATAAAATTTTATATATTTTGCAAGCTGTGCAATCATGCTGTAGTTGATTTGCACTGTATTTGTACTATAGTGTCAAATATGAATAAAAATCCAGTCACCAACTAGAGATCTGATAAAGTTGATCCCAAAAGGGGAGGAGTGAAGCTAATATTTAATGGAAATTGATATTTGAGTAGGTTTTATAGTCCTTTGATAAACATTTCTAGGTTATGATAACTTCCACTCTTCTCCACAACTTCAAACTTCTGGGATTCAGATAATGAATGCTGGAATAATGAAGACTTTCAACATCATTCTGTAGCTGTGGCCATGGATCCCAGACATATAAAGGTAAAAGTTCAACCTTAAATGGAAACACAGAATATTGAGCTGGAAACTACAAGTGCTCTTTGGCTGCAGACTCTGCCACAAAACTGCAAGGACTTAGGCCATTTAACCTTCTCCTGCCTCATTCTTTTTACATAAAAATGGAAAAAAAAATTTCCTCAAGATTCTCAACTTTGTCATGGCACAAAGATTACTTTTATTATTCCCTCTCATTTTTTTTTTTGTGCTAATCATTTTACAGTTTATTTTATGGAAAACTCACAGTGATCCCACAAGATAAAAACTATTGAATTGGGCCTCAAGAAGTCAGGAGCCCCGGGGAGCTCTCTTGGTTTTTGTCTTTATTTATTTATTAAAGATTTATTTATTTATTTATTTATTTATACAAACACTGGGTACAGTCAGAAGCACGGGAGGGTGAGAGAATTCACTTGAGCCAGAGCGGGGAGCAGAGCAGGCAGAAGGACTGAAGTACACTGCTGAGGGGAGCAGCGGGCGGCAGGAGAGGTCTGCGTGCCATGTGGGACCCTCCTCTGGTGGCTGGGGAGCAGCCAGGGATCGAACCGGCGCTGCAGAGGCTGTGGGCAGCTTCGCAACCCAGCGCTCAACCATTGTGCCACCGGGGAGGCCCTATTTATTTTTTAAAGGGTTAACAAAAGGTTTATTTACAAGGGAGGGGAATGTGGAAATGTACAACTCAGGGAGAAAAGAGGGAGATAAATTCTTAAATGTGTCCTACCCATTCCGCTGACCTGGAATCCCAAATGACCCACTGATACCAAACCTGCCTAGCCAAGAGCATGAGCCAAGTGCCCGAGACCCCACTAACATGGCTGGTTTTATTTACAAACAGAGAAAATGGCTGCTTAATTCCGCCCTTAGGTCCTTGCTACTTCCTTTTGGGGATCCAGGAATTTGTAGTTCCCAGTGTCTGATGGAGTGGGGGTGGCACCCACAAAGCCTGTATGGAATTAGCTTCACTTTTTGCCATCATTTCCATGGTGTTGAAGATCAAATGTATGGATGCTGGGGTACAGTTTCAGATGAATATTTTTCTCAGAGTTCCCACTGGAAAGCAAACCAGTCTCTCCAGGTATTGTCCATTGTGGAAAGCAAAAGCCCTCCATTCCTGGAAATAGTTTATCAGTCCAAGCCAAAAAAAAAAAAAAAAAATCTAGAGGCATTAGCCAAAACAAAACAGCAAAGGTATCAAATCATAGGAAAAATATTAAAATTGATTCAACTTATGCAAAAACAGGTTCTCTCAACCTTGGCCCCAAATGATTTCAACAGCATAGCAAAAGTTTGTGAACCAAATCTACTTTTAAACCATATTACCTATTTTTGTACAAAATCACAGGGCAGAATAACTAAACAGCAATTTTAGCTGCTTTGTGGGAATACTCCATAAGGATCAGAGAGAATTCCTGACATCCAGTCCACATAGGCTTCAAGAACAAAGTTGGTCTCATCAGACTCCACCTGGGCTTCCTCTTCTTGAGGATACCAGGGCTTTTTCTTTTTCCGGGTTGTCTAGTCCTGCCCTTGGAGGCAGCTTCCCCACCTCCCTTGGAGGTCTCTGGAGCCTACAAACAAAGCAACAGGTTCTCTTCTTCTTGGTCCAGCTCTGTTTCAACTTCCTAGAAGATTCCATTCAAAGCCACACAATGAAACTCATGTCCAAATTGTATTAGTTTAAGCAGATAAAATCCCTATGGAAGTTACGCAAAAATAGACTCTGAGATAAGTAGTAAAAAAATTACTACCACTATTTTCATGCTGTGTTGGTATCAAGGGGAGAGAAAATGTAAACACAAGTGAGCTTTGCTGGAAAAAAAAACATTGCTGCAGATCCTGGTCACTCAAAACAAGAAAACATTGTGGATTCACAACAAAATGCAAAAAAAAAAAAAAAAAAAAATTACCAGTATTATGTCAAAGAAAATTTAGTTAAAATCAGGTGTATTTCCAGGTCTATTCAGTTCTTTGTAGGAAATTTTTACTCTAAACAGCTCCATCAGTAGGAATTTGTTGAGGCCTTTTCTCCCTATTTTCTCCAGAAACAATTTCTGTATTATACAATATTGCAGGGCAACAATCACCATTGACAATTTACATACATATCAGGTATTGAGAGGTTGTATACACGTTTTAGAAAACCAATGTGAACATTTCTGTACATGTCAAAGTGTTACCCGTTTTCCCAAGTGACAATGCTTCCCTGCTAGTTTTGTTAAGGGGAAAAGGATGTCCTAAAGCTAATTCCATACAGGCTTTGTGGACTCCACCCCCACCCCAGGCCAAAGCCAAAGACACGGGGAACTCCAAATCCCATCACCACCAAAGGGAAGGTGGCTGGGACCTGAGGGTGGGGTTAAGCAGCCAGGTTGGTATAAAGCCAGACACGTGGGTTTTGATTCTCCGCCAGCTTGCGGGTGAGGACCCACAGTCAGGCAACCCGTTCAATATTGGGGCTGCACTATAACAGTTTTACTCTACCAGGTAAGCCAAATAGGACAAATTCATCTAATGCCTTTCCCAAGAGGAAAGGGAGAAATCTTGTGGAGTGTCTCAGGAGCTCTACTGAGGTTCCACAAAATTTCCTTCTATCAACCAAATGAGAGACTACCAAATTTTTACTTGAATTTAGATTTCTGAGAAGGTTTGCCATAAATATCAGAAAACAGCAGAAACAACAACATTCAATCTCTATGAAGGCACCGGCTTAGTTCAGTATTACAATGTTGACTATCAAAACATAACCTTTAATTTTTTTTCTTTTTCTTTTTTTTCCCTTCTCTCTTGACTTTATTTATTTTTTTCCTTTTTTCACCTCCAAAAATTATTTGCCCGCAATTTGTTACCATGTTCATTGTTCACTGTTAACATGCTTTTGCTCATTATTGATTTATCAAAAATATATATAATTTCCATCCAAATCTCCTTAACATTAAAAAATCAATTCACGGGCCTCCCCGGTGGCACAGTGGTTGAGTGCTGGGTTGCGAAGCCGCCCGCAGCCTCCGCAGCGCCGGTTCAATCCCCAGCTGCTCCCCGGCCACTGGAGGAGGGTCCCACATGGCGCGCAGACCTCTCCTGCCACCCGCTGCTCCCCTCAGCAGTGTACTTTGGTCCTTCTCCTGCTCTGCTCCCCGCTCTGGCTCGGTGAATTCTCTCACCCTCCCGCGCTTCTGACTGTACCCAGTGCATGTATAAATAAACAAACGAACAAACAAATAAATAAAAATACATGCCTAAAAAAAAAAAATCAATTCACAATCATTGATTTGCTATATTGATAATATTATCTAAAGCAAAGAAAATATTTGAGGGTTTTATTAATACCATCCAAAGCAAAGAAACTTTAATTTGCCTCAGTAGTTTTACCTTGTTTAATCCCTAAGAATTAAAAGGCTAGAGGTTGGAAATCTCTAGATCCAATCAATTATATTTCCTTACAAGTGTGGGAGTTAATATTATGTATTTGATCATCTGGACCAGCAGAGTGGCTCAGCAGAAATGAGTAGGGAAGGAAGAGGTGAAGTAAAGGGCCTTGGGCCCCAAACCTATTTTATCCTGAGTAGCTGTATTTTCTTTCTGTTTTATATAATGGGTTCTGCCTAGGATTTTGTTTCAAGAATGGGCTTAAAGTATTAAAGATAATTTGAAAATCAAGCTTGATTTTATAGATGAAGATAAGGCCTAGAAAAGGTAAGTGAAATCTGACCAATATTACAGAGCTAATTAATGGTCAAATAGTCATTCAATCAACAATATTTATTGAACAACAATATATTTATTGGATATTGCAGAAGTAAAAATTATAAACTCTGATTCTTTGTTTAAAAACAATCTGTGGGTTACCATGCTGTTTGATTAGAAGCATTAGGATGAAAGAATTATTTTCATAAGTTGATAGAGAATTGACATTATTTTGCATGTTACTACTGCTCAGTAAGACAAGGAAGAGAAGGCAGAAAATTTGCATTCTGTTAACTGCAGGAGAGCAAAGAGCCCTGGCAGGAGACAGGCCAGGTGGGCTCAGTCTTAGCTCAGTTTAAATTCACAGGGCCGGGCCTCCCCAGTGGTGCAGCGGTTGAGCTCTGGGTTGCAAAGCTGCCCGCAGCCTCTGCAACGCCTATCCCCGGCAGCTGGGCGAGGGTCCCACATGACGAGCAGACTGCTCCTGCCGCCCACTGCTCCCCTCAGCAGTGTACTTCGTCATTCTGCCTGTTCTGCTCTCCACTCTGATTCTGATGAATTCTCTCACCCTCCCGCGCTTCTGACTGTACCCAGTCCTTGTATAAATAAATAAAATAAATCTTAAAAAATAAACAAACAAACAAACAAACAAACAAATAAATAAATAAATAAATTCACAGGGCCTCTCTGTCTCTGATCATACACTATTCTCTTCAACATTCACAGAGGAGGAAGCAAAAGGCACATCTCCTCAATATTATCTATACGGTTTTTGTTTCATTTACTAGATTAAGGACTTAGTGATTACCACTAAACCTGTGGCTATGGGAGATATATTACTTTAATCTATAAGATAACATTTGTAAAAGTCAATTAGCTGAATTTGTTCAACTTAAGCTATTAATACATTCACTGGTCTCTGGGTCTCCCTGGGGATGCGAGGGGTTAAATCTCAGCACAATGAAGCTATTGGCAGCTACTGTAGCATGAGTTTGGTCCCCAGCCAGGGAGGTGATCTACATGGCACAGCAGACTTATCCTGTCTCCTCTGCTGCTCCCCTCAGCAGTGTACCTTAGTAGATCCACCTGTTCTGCTCCCCACTCTGTCTCTGGTGAATCCTCTCTCCCCCCACCCCACACACATCTATGGCCTATACCCCAGTTCTTGGATGCATAAATAAAATAAATCTTTTAAAAATATATATAAATAAATTCATTGGTCTCATGATAACTTACCCAAGACTGGATATCCGGTATGTTCTCTTGGTAGTCCACAATTATAGATCCTCTGATTCTAGCTCTCTCCTTGTAGATTATTTGAATCTGCTAAACCTAACACAATGCTTCATTCTTTTTTAGCATCAGTCAAGAGTCAGTCCTTCTTCTAGGCACTGAGGATGCTGTCAATGAACACGTGGGGAAAGTTTCCTACTTGCATTGAACAGAACTAGTTCTCTTGATTTATGGCCCAATGCTGTTTTCTATTATACTAGGCAAAGTTAGAGACTCATTTTACTGTTTTGCAAGTACCTGTCATTATGAGTAGGCTTATGTCTCTTCCACATTGTGTATTCATATAGTCAACAAATATTTATTGAGTAGCTTCTATTACCAGACTCTCTGCTAAGTGCTGGACAACCTAATATGAATTAGTTCTCAAGGTGCTCACAGACATATGCACATAGACTGGTAAACAAATTTCAAATTAGCATAAGTACAACGATTGGAGAACAATGTACAGACATACCACACAGCAGCAATTGATTAATTCCCTCTGACATGATATCCCAACTTGGATTTGAAATGTTAATAGAGTTTCCCCAGGCAAACCAAGGATAGTGGAAGTAGGAATAACATATAGAGATAAGAGACAATATGTATATCCAAAGAACCATATGATGTTTAGTATTGAAGGAATCTAAAGTACAAGGTGGATACCTCTCTATATAATGGCCTATGTTTTCCCTATGAATTGAGAGACAATATTTTTTTGATAATGAAGGTAGATAGAGAATGGGTAGGCAGCTTGAAGGGAGGTTTAAAAGAGCTACAGGATTGTTTGTAAAATAGAAAGGAATGGTTAAAAAAAAACCCTAGGGTGTATTAATAGAGTATTGGCTTAATAAATTACAGTCCACCCACACAATGGAATACCATGCAGTCATTAAAAAGGTGTGCCCTGACATACATAGTCATGCACCACACGGTGATGTTTTGGTTTACTAAGGACTGTATACTTGATGGTGGTCTCTATATATAGGCTAGACGTGTAGTAGGCTATATCATCTAGGTTTGTGTAATTAGATTCTAAGACATTTGCACAATGACCAAATCGCCTTGTGATGGATTTCTTAGAATATATCCTTGCTGGTAAGCAACTCATGCTTACACTGATGTGAAAAGATCTACAAGTCACCTTATTTAATAAAAAAAACAAACAAGATGCAGAACTGTGTGTACTAACTTAGCTTTTGTGTAAACGGCAGTAGAATATAAAAAGATATTTTTTGATATGCATAAATATCTCTGAAAGAACATAGTTGTTTTGGTTGCCCATGGAGAGAGAAGTTGGATGGTCAGAGTACAAGAGCAGGAGTTAGGGGACAGGGGTGGGCAGCACTTTACATTAAATATCTTTTCATTTTGAATCTCAGCAATGTGTAACTTAGTAAAAAATAAAAGTAAAATGTCTAATTTTTAAAATTAAATTAAAAAGGATAATTTCTGAATTAAGTTCTAACTTTATGATCCTCTGGAACCTTGTGCTTAAATCTAACTTGGGGAAATACAAAAGAAAACATTTCTTTTCAGTAGGGGGCTCATATTTGGGAAAGGTGGGATGGTTGAATCATGGGATTGAGAACTAGAAAGTGTCTCCAGAAAAACCTAACCAAGGTCACTGGCTTGGCCTCTGGTAGTCAGGGTCTCCACCCATATCTTTGGCACACTATATTGTTCTGGTTCCATCATCGCAGCACTTCAAAAAGGATTCCATTTTGTTTATTGCTCCTTCTGGTGCAAAATCCTTTTGGTACAAAATGAGTAAAAACAGACTCTGTCCTATAGGAACTAAGAAATTAAAAGGGCACTAAGTTGTCAATTAATACATCAACATATAAGAAACAAGACACTTTTATGTGTGGATTATCAGGCCAGGTTGTTATCATGTGGTCATACCCTTTTATCTCTATCCAAATATAAAAAGAATGGATACTTATAGTACCTTCTATGCAATAGATAATGTCAGATGACAGCAATTCAAGGATGTATAAACCAAAGTCCCTAGTGTCTGTCTTCACACAGAGTAATTAAGGAGAGAGACATAAAGAGAACGTTAGAATAAAATGGGGTATGCTTATCATGGAGGCAGCAGGAGTTCTGTTGGGGCCTAGAGGAGGAAGCAAGTAACTGCCTGGAAGGAATTAGGAAAGGCTTCACTGAGGAGAAAATATGTAACCCTGTTAAGTAAGGAATTTAAGTTGAGGGAGGATGTAAAAAGCATTCCAGGCAAATACAGTCTGCAAAGGCAGCAAAGTTCAGAATAACACAGTGTCTTTGTGGGACACGAAATGGCTAGTCAGACTACAGTGTCAGGTGCTTTTTAGGGAGTGGCAAGTAATGGGGGATGGAAAGGCAGGTTTGGACAGGGTTATGAAGTGCCTTGTATGCCAGGCTAACAAGTTTAGACTTTGTCATGTCAGTAAAATGCCAATGTTCTCAGTCAACATGTTGAGAGGTTGGAACATTGTCATTACTGATAAAGCGCTGTTTAAGCAGGTAGCCCTTCCATTGGCGTCCATATTCTTATTAAAAGCAGAACAAGGATGTGGAAGGCATGACTGTGGGTTTATCACTGCCTTCCCCAGTCTTCCTTTTTCTTCTTCTTCCACTTCTAATTAGATATTGAAGTCTGCTATTATTCTGTCACAAACACTCTCTTTATTTTTCCTTTGATAAACCAACTAGTAAGGATTTACCTGTGGCAGGTACTGGGCTGAGTACCTGTTCAGGGGGAACCAAGGGAAGAAGCAAAGCACAAAGTTGGGGTCATAGCTCAGTTACAATTTCCGAGGACATGACCTGCCACACCTCTGAGTCTAGTCTCACCACAGAAGCCTCAAAGATTCTCAAAACTGACCACAGTATCTGTGTATCAGTCCCCTGCCCCCCAGTACAGAGAAGTGGGTGAGCATTAACCTGCCCTGCTCAGAACATGTGCGCTTTATCCTAGCTGCCAGGGCTGGCAGAGGAACAGCTTACATTGGAACTCACTCAAATTAGGAAGGATGTTCAGATACTGGACAGCAGTATCTGTCCAGCAGCAGACGACAAAAACCCACTAGTGTATTTTACAGATGAAGGAATAGGCTCCAAACAGGTAGGTTAGTTACCTAAGTAACACAGCTAGTCAGTGATGAAGCCAGGCTTGGAGCTCAAGTCAGTTTGCCTGCCAAGTCCACAGTGTTATACAATCTGCTGCATTGCCTTCTCTAGACCATTTCCATTCCATTTCACAGCCCACACACCAGTCCAGGTTCCTATTACCTCATCTGCATTACTGCCTTCTACCTGGTCTCCCTGTTTTCTGCTCCCCTCAATCAGTTCAGTCTCTGTGAGGTTGCTAAGATAATATTTTTCAAGTACTACATTATGTCAGCCTCTTGTTCAAAAATCTGTGACTCACCCCCTTTGAGAGATTTTCCAGATGAATATCATTCCATACTGATCACTCCCTCAGTAATCAGTCAAATCATGTTGCTACAGTGCCATCACAGATTTATAATTTATGCTATACTGTCCAGTATTTATTAATGGTTCTAATTATTACAGTTACATGTGACTTCACTAAGGTCTTAGAGCCTGTCTTTTGCTGTTTTTGTCACTTAAATAACAGATATTCACATCAATACCTTCTCATCTTTGAATTTCGAGCACTCTAGGATATCTGCATTACTATGATCAATGCTATTGCTGAGCACTTCCCACTTAATAATTCACATTAGCTTCCCTGAAATTTCACAATTGTTTCCTATATTTCTCTGCTATACAAACCATGGCTACCAAGAATATGTTTAAAATTGCTCCCAGTGATAAGAATTTTATTTCATTTTTCGCAAATGTTTAATTCATTACTTCACCCTCAGATACTGTAAGTTGTGATGTAAAAAGTGGTATCCTTTTCTTGGAGCTGTGATGAGAGGAAATAGTATTTAGAGCATGCTCTCCTTTCTAGAATAGTAAAGACAGCATAAGCATTAAGTATACCCCAGGTTACCACATGATTGAGGTACCTATAGGAAAATCCCTTGCCTAGTTCCTTCATTATCTTCATATGGCTGAGGATATCTTTAGCAACTAATAATGCCTAGATCCTCTAAATACAGATCCAGAACACCAAGAACCTTTTAATAAGTGACCTAAGTCCAGTGACTTTTTTGAAGACCTGTCTTTTTCTTGAGCTTATGATATTAGAGGAGGTCACACCTACATGCAGAGCACACAACTTGATGACCAGTATACTTAACAAAACTCACAACTTATTTAAAGGATACCCATATATGCTCTGGTCATTTCCTAAGTTTTAAGAGTAGGGTTAAAAATATAGAGTTGGTACCATACTCAAGAGTTAAACTTCTCTTTGGGAAGACTAATCTATTACACAAATAACTGATCAACAACGGGGTGAGATGATAATTCAAGTCTGTACTGGGTATAAGAATGTTACATAAGGGCCTCCCCGGTGGCGCAGCAGTTGAGCGCTGGGTTGTGAAGCTGCCCGCAGCCTCTGCAGTGCCGGTTCGATCCCCGGCTGCTCCCCAGCCACCGGAGGAGGGTCCCACATGGCGCACAGACCTCTCCTGCTGCGCCCGCTGCTCCCCTCAGCAGTGTACTTCGGTCCTTCTGCCTGCTCTGCTCCCCACTCTGGCTCTGGTGAATTCTCTCACCCTCCTGCACTTCTGACTGTACCCAGTGCTTGTATAAATAAATAAATAAATCTTTAAAAAAAAAAAAAAAAAGAATGTTACATAGAAGGGGATAATCTACTCTGTTTCGGGTAAGGGATCCCAAAAGGCCTTAATGAAGATGAATAGCTTCTGCTGGGGTTGAGGGAGGTGTAAGAGTTTACCAGACAGATGAAGTGGGGAATAACATTCCAGAAAAAGGGAAGAGCAGTATACCATGGAATGAAAAGCAAAAGGAATTGCAATTGTTTGGATTCTGAAGATACATATTCATCATTCATTCTCTCCTTCCCTCCAAATTTCCCAGGCATGGGGTTGAGCACAATTGATCTAACTCAGAACTTTAGAGATGTGTTTTGATTGGACAGTCAACATAATCCATTCCCTTGTCATAGTTCTTAGAGAAGCATGTCTTCCAGACCTAGGTAAATCATTGATGGCATTACTCAGGGATGTTAGTTCAGGACTGAATATGTCCAATCAATCAGATTTTGGTTTGCGAGAGGATGTGCTCACATGGGAAGGGCAGTATGGAAACCTGAGAGTTTCTAGTTTCCATTTTGTTGCCTCAAGGGGAGCCAACTAGAGGATAAGGACATCACATAGAGCTAAGGGGACTGTAGAGTGTTGGGGCCAATGACCTAACCAAAGTCTGAATAGATGCTGATATTTCCTTTTTTTAATAACCAAACATAATTTTTTGTTATGTAAACCTAAAATAATTCTACCTGAGGCAACGCCAGTGGATTTGAGGCAGTAGAAGGTGGGAGATGGATGGTACAGAGAGGCATAGGTCAGATGATGGGTATCATATCAATTCTAGAGAGAGAAAGCTCTCAAAGACCATGTTTCAGAGCAATATGAACTGATATGAACTTTAGAAAGATTACTCTGGTGCAATGATAAGGATGTCTTGGAGGGAACAAGGCTGAGGGAAGTAAGACCAGTGAGGAAACCACATCACATTTTCACTTCCTTCATCATTTCATTCAAGAGTATAGGTTCTAGCTCCTTTTTGCACTAACCTTAAACAGGAATCAGCTATTTAAAAATACTTAATCTTTGTACATATGTTATAAGATATATATTCCTTAGAATTTTATATGCTAAAAGTAAATATGCATGTCTTAGAAGTTAAATTTTTCAGAGGTTTCATATAACAGATCAAAATTTGGGTTATACTGCTTTGGTTATCAGTAATATCTTGGCCTCCTTCTGTTTCTCTTTAGGACTTCCATTTGTTATTCACTCCCTCTGAACTTTTTGTCAATACACTCTTTTATCTCATAGTGTGAGTTTTTTGTTTCTGCTTTTTTCCCCTAGAGACAGAATGACAGTTGATGAAAAAGAATAATGTTGAGTAGATTGGCACAAAAGCTCTTTCCCATGGTATCTGTTGCTCTTGAGGGAAATTAACCAGATCCTAACCAGTAGTGAAGAGGAGGCATCATTGATAACAAGCATTTGTCTTGATCTCTCTGGTCTCCAACATTAACTACCAAGTAAATTCTATTGATGGACGAACCATGGGTATGTGACTCTTCTGCTCTATTTCACTGGAACTCTTCTGCAAATATATTAAGATTCAATTAATTTTCCTATTTACTTGTCATTACTGAACTCCCTCTTTATCCTTGCACTGTGTTTGATAATTGGGACAATACAATTGAAGAGGAAAGCTGGG